ACTGGATTTTAGATAAAGGAAACATTTCTCTTCAATAATCATGCCTATGTTCCTTTAATGAATAAGTCTTTAGTCCATTCTAGGTAACAATTTTTTACTAATACACAGTAAATATATTAAAAAATAATTACCAATATACCTAATTTGTAGTAAGATTCATTAGGAATCTACCAATTCTTTCTGCATTCACGTTCTTCTAGCCTCAAGTCCTTTATTTTTTAATATGTCATAAGTATTTAGGTCCTAAATTATAGAACAGAAACAATAACCTTCCAAAAAAGACCTATTTAGTAGCATCAATTCCCCTTCCATGAACTTCAAATGTTATCTTGGACCAGTTAACCCTCTTATCCTTGGTGTCTCTGATTTAGATTACCCTATGTATGAATCTTCCCTACAACACTGTCTAATAAAAGATCTTTTAGAAACTCTCATGTGACTAAGAACTCCATTTTTAGAAAATTCTCGCTTTTATTTACAAAAATCTTCCTCCCTATAAACTCTATCCATTGGTTCCAGTGCTGTCTTTGGCGCAGAGAATAAACCTACCAGTTTTAAAAGCATTTGATGACAGCTATCACATTCCCCCTCTAAATCATCTCTTCTGAGCTAAACATTCTGCCAAACACCAAGGCACATTATAATGAGAAATAACAGTAACATATATGAAACACTGGGAAGTGAGCTGTATGTATTTAAAAATATATCTATTAAGGGCCGGCCCAGTGGCTCAGTTGGTTAAGACCTCGCTCAAGAGAGGGAGCCGGTTCAATTCGCAGCCCGAGCTGAGCTGCCGCTGAGCTGCCAACAGGCAGCAGGATGGCTCAGCTAAAAAAAAAAAAAAAACTATATATATATTTTTACCATATACTTGTTCACCTTTATTTCTATAAGCTTCCCAGCACCTTCCTTGCACAGGTTACATCAAGGAGCTCCTCCGTCCTTATTCAAATTAGGCTCTAATGCTTTTAAAGCCAACTTTGTACCTGTCTTAGTAGACTCTTTCTATATCAAACTAACTGCATCAACATTTCATTCAACTCTTTTTTACTAATCTCCAAATTTCCCTCTCGAGAAACTCATTCCACAAATACCAATTAGACTTGCTCTTGAACTGTACAGGAATTCCTGTTCCAAGTTATTATCTATACAGTGTCACAGATTTGGTCTGTTTTGAACCTATGTTCACGCTTCCCAAAATACATCTATCATCTCTACATCTTTCAAGATTCAGCTCAGAGATCACTTCTTCCAGGTTTCTTCTATGACCAATCCACCCACAGCACAGGCTGGGGTTAGGCAATCTTCAAGGTTCCAAATTGGCACCCTGTACATACCTTGAGAAAACACTTTTCTGTTTTGTGCTATTACCTGTCACTAATGTAAGGATCCTGGTTTCTCTGTAGTGTCTAGCACACAGTAAAGTTGTTCAAAGAAAAGATAAAAAGCTTCCTCTCATTTCTTAAACAGCACAATAAAATTTTAGTATGTCCAAGTCACCATTTTTAGGTCTTCTAGGAGTAATTTTAGAGGTACTAAAATCCTGCTATTCTATGATTATCAGGTGGGTACTAGACTTAGCAGGGGATCAACGTCCTAAGTTAAACAAATGTCTAACTGCTATCCTGTACACCTGAAACTAATAATATTGAATGTCAGCTGTAATTGAAAAATAAATTTTTTTAAAAAAAGCAATCCTGTTATTCTCACCTAATAAGCAACAAAATTTTTAAAAATATACACCTTGAGCTGTTGTCACTATAATCACATCATTTCTAGATCTATCTCTACGCTCCCATTAGCTTTCCTGTTATTCAAAAATTCATTTACCCAAGTGCCTGAGTATAACACTGGCCTAGGCTTTAAGAGAATTATGCAGCTCTTAGTCCCCTATACTATTCTTATTTTTACCTATAGTCAAAAGTCTAGAAATACAAGACAAAAACTAAACCAACTATTATGAGGTTTATTAAAAAACATATTATTAATGCAGGACTATTACAAATAATGCCAGACTATTCCAAAGTTGAGACAAAGGGAAAAGTTAACTCACTGTTGTCTTCTTCTGAATAGCTGACAGTAATTTTCTCAAACAAAAATATTTTTAAGAAAGAAAAAGGGATGTATGGCAATATATAGCACAGCCAAGACCTTCAAAAAGCATACATCCTTACATCCAGCAGTAACAATAAAGGACAGATGTGAATCATTATTTATGTCAAACAATGTTTACTGCAGTATTAGGTGGAAAAATTATAAAGAAGCTAACACATTCAACAATTAGGGATTGGTAAATTATATCTACGATAGACTACTATGAGGCCATCAAAAGTGATGTCACAGGAGAGTATTTAACAAGTAGGGAAAGGTTCTAAACAAATGCAGAAAGCAGGTTACAAAACAGTATCTGAGGTATACAACAAAGTAGACAGGATATCAAAGATGTTACTAAAATCTGCTGGAAGTTTCAAGCCAAATAGCTCCAATGCTTGAAGGTTCTACGATCCTGAATTAGATCATGTGACAGAACAAGTCAGTAATACTAGGCAAAAATGGCTGTAATTCTGCTTCAGTGTGTTCTGCCAAAATACGTGCCCAGTATCAGAACTTTGGAATAGCTGTGACATCATTTTCAGGATGAAGTTTAAATATTTCCCTACTTACTGAGTTACCATGCCCATCTGGCACGAAGATTTTTTGCAATCTTGTAAATAATACAAAAGCACACACACAAACACACAACCTAAGGGCATCTACTGCCTCAATGAGCTATCAGTCCCACTCTCATGAAACTTGTTTTGTCTTAGAAGCCTAACAAAGACTGAAGAACAGTTTACAGTCAGTTATGTAAGGATGTTAAGGATAACAGTGGGCAACGGAGTAAGGCAATACTGACTGAAATGCTAACTGGGTTTAGAAGTAATCACAGGGACCTTTCTGAAACCCCAGCAAGCTCTTCTTACAGAAGGGTAAACTAAAAGTAATCTGACACAAGTATAATCGAAGCTTTTTTTTTTTCTTGGTGGTTTGTTCACTTGCCTGAAAACAATTAGGATACTTATTCAAAGGTCTTTATGGAATGGTTTTAAGGAAGATCCATTAGTTAGCTTAACAAACACCCTAAACCATATTACGTACACTCTGAAAACATCACAAGACTGGCCAATTCCAACATATGAATCTTACACCTGTTTAAGAAGTTCAATAATCATTCACTGAAGTGAATTTAATACAAATACGTATTTGATTAAAAGTTTACATAAGTTAACGATCCTCAAATTTGCTACTTCGTTTTCAAACCAGTTTCCCCACTAGCTCTAACACATACCAGTTCATCTTAGCATCTATGCTGTGCATTCCTAATATTCCTGTCTTTGTCATCCTGCTTTTAATCACAAGATGTAGAACAGAACTTTGCAGATGAAAGCAAGCAGATTCATAGTATGAGATGGATATTATGCATGTTTCAAGTGGTTAAACTAAGCACCTGGACTCCCTTCATACACGTTAAAAATCTGTCATGCCACTACATGGTGCCTAAAAGGTCATGACCCCCTTCCTTGCACCTCTATAAACCAGGAGCCTCTGAAGGGCATCTTTAGAGCCTTTCAGATATCTGGCAAAAATAACCAGTAAACTATCTTTTTCTAAAAGATTATGGCAGATTTTAAGTTAAACTTTGAAGAAGGGAAGAGGAGAGTTTCAAGTACTAAAAAGGAGCAAGTTTCTGACAGCCAATTTTTCCCCAACACTTTCAGCATCATTGATAAGTGTATCTCCATTTCTTATTTGTCTGTACACACTAGATTATCAGTCGGTAACCATCCTGCCTTAGACAACTATGCACCTCTGATTGTTTTATGCAGGTGGAGAATCTACCAGGGACTCACTGCTCAAAGGATTAAGTGTTTATTGACATAACAAGTGCCTCAGATCCAAGATCAAATATATAAGATCCCTATGAATTCATGACAAATTTAAGGAAAATATGTTTACAGAAGCTTGTTAGGTTTTGTTTTTTATTTTACATTTAAGGCTAATCACTCGGAAGTCTCTCAATCATTTATAGAGTTTTTTAAATTTTCCTCCTTGCCCATAATCTTTCCACCCACTTCCTACATTTAAGTATGTCTAAGTTCTAGATAATATATCATCTGCCCCAACCAGTGCTTTATCATTTCCTTTTGGTCCTCAAGTTTACATTCACTCAATATACAGGGACCAGGCATTACCAACTCTTTCAAATAAACTCAACTCTTTAGTTTGGACCTATTCTCCATCACGCTGCCCAACATTTCCACTTGTTACAAAGGAAACAAGAGAAAGTGGCCCTTCAGGAATACAACAAAATATTAAGGACAAGAGGTCAGTTTTTTCTGATTAGCTGTTTTCCAAGTTTTACATAATAAACATTAACTTTTCCAATGGGAAAAGGGTTTTGAAAAAAGTAAGCAGAACACTACTAAGGATAGAAACAAGAAAGTTAGTTCTAAAAAACATCCTCTTGACATTGCCAGTTGTCAGAAGGCAGACTGAAGGGCGATGTCAAGGCTTGATGACACACCAACTCTTGAAAAAAAAAAAAAAACCACAGTAGCCCTTAGGCCAAGTTATTTCCAACAGAACTTTTATCTTTTTCTCTGCCTTATTACAGCTTCAATCGTTTCCTACTTTAATTTCCACAATTCTATCGTGTCAATCATTCATCCCTTTGCATTTCTTTTAAACTCATTCTTCAACCCTTTCTGCATCATATAAATTCAGTTTCTCAACACTGTTTCTACTTTCAAGCCCAAATGTCTGTCCTCCATTCACGTTCCCACATTCCTTCACACTAAGGTTCAGATAGTAAGACCAATTATACTTCCATAAAGACTTGAACTGTTAAGTGATACTTGTGTTATTTACAGAGCTTTTATTAACAGTTCAATATAATACCTCTCCTGTTCTCGCTAGTCCTTCTCCTTCTCTAAAAGTCTTAAGAATGGTAAGCTGGTTACCTTTTTAACACTTTCTTCTTCCTCTTGGCGTTTCTCATAATGTGAGAAGTCATCAAAAATGGAAGTGGTGTGCTTGTAGCTGGCTATGATTTTCAACACCTGCTTAGCTTTTTCCAGAGGCACTTCCTGAGTGTCCCTGGAGTTGGTCACTGGTTTATTCTCGTTGTTCTCTAGGCGAATGTGTCGCAGCTGGCTATTGGGAACGTCCTTCACAAAAATCCACCTGACATCAAAACGACCCTTCCATTTGTCCTGGGACCACACGCCTGCACATGTGTTGTAGTCCACAGCAGATTTCATTTCCGCAACGCCACAGAAGTGTCCACTGCCGTTGACACTGAAAAGTAAGTAAACGGGGCCTTTCCCGTTCATTGAGCGATAAGCAGCATCCAGTCTCTTGTTACCATGCTCTGTGCTGCACCAGATATTATACTTAATGGAACGGTGGATATCGTCCTCAGAGTAGCTCTTAATGATGAAAACCCGGCCATGTTTCAGATTCCAGTCAAAATCCTTGGGGTTATAGTTATTAATGGACCGTAGTTTCTCCAACACTGGGTGAGGTTCTGAAGGAGTAGATCCAGACCCGGCCTGAGACTGTCCTACTCCATTACCATCCACCCCATTATGACCAAACCCACTGCCACGGTTCCGAGGTGCTACCCAGCGGGTTGGCTGAGCTGCCTGTTGCTGGACTGAGAGCTGGGCAGGCTGTGGTGGAGGTGGGGGCAATGGCTGTGTCTGTTGCCCTACTGATGCCTGAGCCACTGGTGGGCTATTGTTAGCCTGCTGACCTACAGGCTGGGGAGACCCCTGGGTTGGCTGCTGGCCTATATTCTGAACCAAAGCCTGTGAAGGGGCTTTTGCAACAGGACCCTTGTTATCCCAAGTTCCAATATCCATGTTATGCTTTATTGGGGGTGGTGGAAGACTTGACCCTGCAATACCATTCTTGGTCTTCAACTTAGGTTGCTGTTTTGCAGGCTTGCTAGCAATATCAGCCCAAGAAGCTGGTTTTGGAGGAGCAATGGTAGCTGGGGGTAAACTATTAGAAGCCACAATGTTACTAGTAATGGATCCGCTACCAACAGCAGAGCCTACAACTTTAGGAACATTGCTTGCAACTTCTGTGCTACCCAACTTCAGTGCTGCCATCCCTTGGTCTATAGTATTCATGCCAGGAGCTTTATTGAGGGTCTCGCTGGCAAAAGCTGACTGTCCATCAATCATGGCTCCACCTAAGGAGCTAGGTGCATAAGCATAATTGCTACTATATCCAGAGCTCTGAGTAGACTGTCCCTGAGAACTGTTATTTCCCCAAGCTGAGAAGTCAATCCCACTGGGAAAGAAATTAAAACCATGCTGACCAAGAAATGGAGTGCTACCAAGGGCTCCTGGTTGCCCAAACATTGCATCTGGTAGGAAGTGAGGCTCTCCGTTGCTCAGCTGTCCATAGGAAGTTAGATATGGCATGGCTGTGTCACCCCCAGTAGACCAAGCAGCTTCACCCAAAGAATAGGAGAAGCCAATCGAGGGACTGTAGTAACTGGGTAAGTAGGAATCTGACATGGCAGTATATGCATTATTCTGTGGAAGAAAGAAAAAAAAAGGCAAATCAAAACTAAACACAAAAATAAACTACAATCAGGACATTTACTCTCCCAATTATTTACACAATTCAAATATTTCCACCATTACATTAAAAAAGTGACCATTTCAGATGTTTTCTTCCTATAAACTTCCTATTTTTGTATTGTTAGATATTTTGGTTTAATAATTGAAATGTTTAAAATTAAAGTTAAACTGGCTTACAGCGACTACTTAACTTTAACACTATAATTCAGTAAAGGGAAAACCCAGATCTCATCAACAGTTAAGAACTGCTCTACAGAAGTGTTGAGATGATGCTTTTACTAAAATCAGTATCTCTGGATTTGAGTGGGAATTTTGGCAGGACACAGGAGTGTTCAAAAGGTTTTCCTAGTAAAACCACGCTACAACAGATAAAACAAAACGAACTGGAAATTTCAAGTTCTATCCCAAAAATCTATGCAGCCATTCCTCAATCATAAACCAAAAGGCAAGGTTCACAATACCTAGTTTACAGTGACAGCCTCTTGGCAAACCATCTGGGAACATCAACAGATGTCACTATTTAATTATAACTTGTAAAGGAAATATATAGTAGCTTCCAGAGCGTTTAAAACTAGAAAAATGTTGCTACCTGTTCTGCTTCTCCTATAAAATGGCTGTAAGCTGAAAGGCAAACCTAACCTTTCCATTAAAAACAGGAACATAATTCTAAAGACACTACACAGTCCATATCTTTAAAAAAGGAATCATCCTCAACCAGAAACATAAACTTACATGCATTAGAAGACAAGTTACACTGCAAAAACCTCAATCATTTATCTTACTTAGTTTGTGCTGAAAGTATTTTTTCATTTCTTTTTTATGAATCCTAGAGTTCACAGAATAGTCCCTTAAATGATAAGCTATAGGTACCTAAAATTGGTCTCTATAGATGTAGATACAGCTCAACTCAAAATACAATACTTTACCCTAACTTCAAAGTAGCTCTTGAATATAAGAATCCGTTAACTAATCAAAATAGGGAGTTCTGCTCTTAAGAGATTTGGAAGACCGTAACCACATTTGGCGTTAGGTTTGTACTACCACCAATGGTACTTCTCCCTAGTCACTAAAACACATCTCTTGAAAATTAAATGTTTCCACTAATGTGGTTTGATGGTTTAATGGTGGTGCTCCTCTGGCAATTTAAATTTTCCTTGAAAAAAGCTGTCCTTTCTCACGTAGACTTTTCTTAAAATTAAGAGTATTTCTCTGAGGCGGCTGGTTAGCTCAGTTAGTTAGAACACAGTGCTCACAAGACCAAGGTTGCTGGTTCGATCCCCACATGAGCTGCTGAGCTGTGCCCTCCACAACTAGATTGAAACAACTACTTGACTTGGAGCTGATGGGTCCTGGAAAAACACAGTGTTCCCCAATTTAAAAAAAAAAAAGAGTATTTCTCGAAGATAGTGTTAATATTTTAAGAAACCCAAACCCATTATGTGTAAGAAATTCAGTCTATAATCAATGGATTAAACCTGAAAGATTATTCCAACATAAGGCAATGAAAAAGTGGCTAAAAAATAGATGAATTACTCTTGATGACAAACTACAATGGACAAAGATTCTCAGACTGTCTATTCAACAAAGATTTTTATTTTCCCCAATATCTTAAAAATAAAGACATTTCTACTTTAGCTTACTTGAGAAAGAAAAAACACAAATGCACTTAATATCACAGGTTATTCCATTATATAGCTAAATGTTTACACCTGAACTGGCAGGTTCCCACATGCCCCTGAGCTCAAAAATCTGAATTACACAATGTTTCACAAGAACTACCTACAATTATATTTCCAAATGCTCCCACTCTCCCTGTTATAATAATTACGTAAGCAAACTACTTCAATAGCAGGAACCTATTAATAGTTCATTCCTCTACTTCCTCCCCTACTTTTCCTGATTAACTGGTTGTCTTCTGCAAAAACTTTTTTCCAGTCACTTAAGTGGTTTCTATACATTCAATGCAGAAATTTTTACATAAGAAATCTAAAACTTTTATGTAAGAATTGGGTCTAAGTATGGGCATACGCTATTATGTCAAATTATTCTAGACTATTATACATATTATACATCATCTGTTCAGAATTTATATAAATATTCCATAAGCTTCTTCTTTTAGAATATTTGGATGAGTTATTGCCAATTTTCCTCCTGATTTATTAGTCTGGGGAGTTACACTTAATTGCTACAACTTTGTGACTGTCTTTGGTACCCAAGATACTTATACGAAAGAACTACAAAATTAAAGTTTCTATGTGCATAAGTCTTGTACCTGGATGCAACTAATGTTCACATCAGAAAACAAATTACATTGCAAAAACCTCATCACTCTTAATCTTAGTTCGTGCTAAACAGTATTTTATCTTCCTTTAACTTGATTTTGTATATCCTATAACTCCCTTAGGTGAGACTCTAGAAATATACAAAGATAATCTCTATTGATGCAGATACAGCTCAACTCAAAAATATGAGTACCTAACTCCAAAATAGTTCCGCTAATCTAAAAACCCACTAACTAGTGGCCACAGAGAAGGAAGAATATTCAGTTCTGCACTACCGAATACAGTTCAGGTGATTTAGTTTTCCCCATCACAAATGAATCCAATTTTCCAAAAAGAAAAAGGTTTTGGGGGTGAAAATTCAGAATATTTAACACTGGAAAGTATTAAGTTTTGCACTGTATATTTTTGGTAAGGAGGAAGAATTACTCAAACAGATGTTACTGTTAGCACACTGTAAAATGTCACCAGGACTAGTCTCAGTACAATATGTTTGCTGACGTAAGAGATAGAAATCTTAACAGTATACATTTGTAACAATTTTTTATCACACTAATATTAAGAACGTCACTCCTGAAAACAAGACTTATCTATAGAGCAGAGAAAAAACAACAGTATACACCCTTTGATCAGGTATGTAAACGGTTAACTACTCACGGGCCTCGCCTGTGGACTCAAGTAAGGTTCAAAATCATCATCATTTAATCCATCCTTCTGATGTACAGATCCATTTTGTACTAAAGGGAAAAAATTCAAATTAGGAGTGCCTCAATCGTACAATCTCCCTCCCAAACTAATCAAATATTATCCTAACCAGAGAAAAACCTTACTAAATAGAGCAATTAAGTTTGAATCTCAAAAAGATAAAGAGGAGAGTGAATGCTGAGCAATACTCATCAGTGCAAGTCTCCCTCCACCCAGAGCAAGTTCATCTAAAAAGGTCATTTTATTGGCTCCTCTAGATTTCAATGCCCTCCCGCTTCCCCTCCCCCGACACATGTGAGTACTTCCAGAGTGTGATCCACGAGGATGAAAAACAAAGGCCTTCTAAGATCTACAGGAAACTAAGGACCTGAGTGAGACATTTCAAAACCGAATCCACCCCCACCCTTAATGAATTACTCCTTGTTCGCTAAAAAGCTGCTCGCCAGCTGCAAGAACACACCGAAAGAGTCAAATACTTAAGTATGAGGCACCTGCGACTAAGCGGCTTCCGAAAGGTCCTCGCCCAGGGGCGCTTCCCGGAGACCCCGCCCCCACTACTCCGGGTCCCCCTCCCGGCTCAGGGCCACTGGCGGAGCCGGGCTCACCTTTGTTTCCTTGACCTTTTGGTCTCTGCGGACGAAGGAAACGTCGCCGAGCAGCAAGTTGTCCGAGGAAGAAATGGAAAAGGAAAGACAAATTAAAGCCAGGCCGGAGAAAGGAATAAAGGAGCAGACCTGAAGGGAGGCTTCAGGAATGGTGGTGAGGGGGAGGCGGAAAACGGGAGGCAGGAAAACACGCTAGGCCGGGGGGGGGGAGGGGGGGCGCGGAGAAAAAGCCGAGGACGCGCCAGAAGCAACGCGAGGGGGCCTAGGATTCAAGGAAGGGGAAGGGAACAAGGAAGAAAAACGAGGCCCGCTGAGGAGGGAACGCGGCGCAGCCAGTGGGAGCCGAGGCCCAGGGAGAAGCGGGAAGAGCGGGCTGAGGGCGAGGCGCAGGGCGCGGCCGGTCTGTAAGGCCCGAAACCCGGCCCGCGAGAGGCGCCGCCTCGGCTCGGCCAGACCGGGGGCGGCGGGCCCGGGCCTAGTCGGGCTCCCTCTCGCCTCACACAATGGCCGAGGCATGCGGGCCGGGCCTGTACCTGCTCCAAGAGGCTGCTGGCCGACATGGCTCTCGGATCCTCACGGGTGGCGACGGCGGCAGACTCTCCTCAGGGTGGCGGCGGCGGATGAGCCCCGGCGGCGAGAGCAGGCGGCGCAGCGGCGGCTTTTGTCCCTGACACTCGGGGGCCTCGGCGGACGCAGCGGAGACACAGCGCGCGGCTCGGGCTCCGGCTCCGACTCGGCGACGCTCTAGCCCGAGAGCTCAACGCCCGTCTCTATGACTTTACGCGCGCGCCCGCCCCTCGCAGCCGAACTAAGGGCGCCGCGCAGCGGAGGCGGACGGCGAGCGCGGCGCGACGCTGACTCTCACATTCACTCACCCACGCGGAAGGGGCCGGGCGCGAAGCACTTCGGGAAGGACCAGGTGCGGCCGCACTGCCCTCTAGTGGGCTGGAGGAGCGGAAGAGGCGTACGCGTCCTCCGCATCCCCACCGCCTCAGGGTTGGGGCCTAGGAGGGTGGGGGCGGCCAGGGACGCACCACGAGGTTTTAACTAACACCTGAAGGGAGTAACTGCAGCTTGAGAAAACCCACAAAAGCGCGTTTTTCAGTGAGGAAGCGCCCCCTGAAGCCTGAGAGACAAACCCGCTTCCCAGTTGCAGATAGCACCCCCCCCAATCTGGGAGGGAACCTGAAGAGGGGGTCACAGAGCCTCTAGGGAAACATCATGGGGGCCCTGCCTGAGGAAGACACACACACACACACACACACACACACACACACTCTCTCTCTCTCTCTCTCTCTCTCTCTCTCTCTCTCTCTCACACTCACACACTCACTGACTCACTCACTCCAGGATCCTGGTTATCCATCCTGTTAGCCGACTGCAAAAAAATGTGCAAAGAGAACAAAAACATCCACAAACAATATGATCCCCTGCAAAAGAGATTCACCCTTTGGCATTGCAGGGAAGAGAATCCACAGTTCTTGTTTATGGAAGTCACTGGCCCCCATGGTAATAATCTGTTAAACTGGATTTTACTTCCAAAGAAGACACACCTCACAGCTACACAAAAGTTTACATGTACTTTCACCAAGTCCAGAGAATCTATAAATCTACAGACTTCATGAGGGAGTGTCCTTATCTGGGAAAGGAAGGAAAGTAATGCTACTTGAATACCTGCTGCGGGTTAGGTTTTCTTGTTAGGTGCTTTCAAATACGTTAAAGGCTTTCAGCATCTTCAAACTAGCTATCAGTTTCTCTATTTTGCAACTGGGGAAACAGGTTAAGTAATGTGTCCAAGGTCACAAAGCTATTAAACAGTCAGTTGTATCTGACACCAAGAAGAACATAATAGTGTCCCTCCACCCCCAAGAGAAATCCTGTATTCAGGAACCAGAATACAGAGGTGATCCAAAATATGGGCAAAACATTTTTAATCGGAGGCAAACCCAACTCAGGCAAGGATATTTGATCCTAGGACAGTCCATCTCCTAATAGCTCTTGGTATTGCAAATAGTAGTAAACAGATAAATAATGCACTGTAAAGTGTCAACCTGATACCATCCACTCTCTGAATATAGGAGGCTTTGGTGGACTCCACAGTAAAATAAATGCTAACACGGCATCTTGGATTTTGCATCATAATTTTGCTCAAAGTATATTTTTTCTGCCCATAATCATATTTATGGTTGGAATGAATAAGGTCAGGCACCAAATGTGATGGACTTTTGGAAGAGACAGTAAAATGTCAAGTCTCAAAGCATAGATCCCACCAAGGGAATAAAAGAAACCTAGTAACCCTTTTTTTTTTTTTAAAGATGCTCAGCCAATTAACCCCATGGCCCAGATTTATATATAAACTGTAAGCAGTTGCCTACACTTACCCTTGAAAGTAGCATGGTATGATAAAAGGATTGACCAGGAGTCTTATCCTGGGGGGAGCGGGGGAAGAAGGGGGAAAGGAGGAGGATGGTACTAAATTCTGGTCTCCCCACCTGATTTGCAACATTAGGTAAATTAGTAAACCTTTCAGAGTTTCCCTCATTTGATCAAGGGGTTACTAGTATCTCCTTAAAAGGTTTGTTGTGAACATAGTTTAAAAAAACAAACAAACATTAAAGCAAGTCTGGTACATTGCAGGTTACTTTCCTGTAATCCCATTAAGGCACGGAAATGAAAATTCCCTCCTTCCAGTGATATCTTCATAGTGCCTAAAATTTTGATTAGTTCCTTTGGGGTTACTTTCTGTCATCTGGGAGTTTCCAGTTAAAATGCAAGTATCCTTGCAGGAAGGATAGTCTCTGAACCTGGATCAAGTTCACCAGATTGGCTTTAACAGCCTGAACAGAACACACAAGGCTGATCTATTTAATCACTGGAAAGAGGGAGAGAAAGTCTGGAGTGTGAGGGCATATCATCTTATGGGACAGACCCCTCATGGTTTGAGAGAAAAAAATTGTCCTGGAAATGGATTTGTGTTCTAGTTTCAGCTCTGCAACTGTGTGGATAAAGCATTCAAGCCCTCTTTTAACCAGTAGTTACTGAGGGCAGGCAATGTGCTGAAGAGGATCTTAAGAGTTTACTTTCCCTTTAAACTTATAGACTAGTCAGGGAAACTAACAGTAAGCAAATAGTTTTTCAATTACAGTTGTGCACAGTGCAATGAGAAAGCACAGACAGACATAGCCTAGTAAGGGGGTGCCAAGGAAGTTTTCCCTGAGATTAAGAGTTTCAGCTAAAAACTGAAGGATGACCAGAAATTGACCAGACAAGGAGAGAAGGAAGCGAGGTTACAACATGTGCAAAGGCCCCAAGCAGGGAAAGTTTGGCACTGATGAGGAACTGAAAGAAGGCCAGCATGACTGGCTCATAATGAGAGAGAGGGTGGGACCAGATGAGACTGGAGAATTGGGCAAGAAAGGAGAAAAACAGGGACTTTAGATGTTAGCTACAAAGGATGATTGGCTAGTAAAGGGTTAATAGGAGTATAGCTTTCTCAGGTTTATGTTTTAAGAAGTTAACTCTGGTTGCAGTGTGGGAAACAGGGAGAAAAGAGAAGGTTAGGAATTAGAAGAGTGTTGTGGTAAAGTCCAGGCAAAAGATAATGGTCTCATCTAGTGGTACTGAAGACAGTGAGAAATGGACAAAATGGACATCTTAGGAGGTAAAATAAAGTCTGACAAACTGATTGGATTGGGGGGAAGGCACTACAGAAGAAGCAGGTATCAAGAATGATACCTGGTTTGATTTGAATAATTGGGTGGATGAGGTGCCATTTTCTAATGTGGGGAATATTAGAGACTTGTGGGGGTGGGGAAAGATAATAAATTTATCTTTGGACATGCTGGGTTCCAGGAGAACATAAAACATCAGATAGAAATGTTTGGTAAACAATTAAAGGGTTTGGGGCACAGAGAGAAAAACAGGGCTGAGAATACAAATCTTGGAGTCTTTGGTATAGGGATGGCAGTTGAAGCCAAAGGGGTCCATGAGATTTCCTCAGAAGAGACGGAGAAGAGCAAAAGGCCCAGCACCCAGCCAGAGAGGCAGAAGAGGAAACAAGGAGAGTAAATCATTTCCTCACTCACAGTCTGTTTCCAAGACTGTAAAATAAGGAAGTTGGACCAAATCAACCTCCAAGTTTCCTTCTAGTTCCACCATTTTAAGACTTCTGGAAGGTGGAAACCAAAGAGATCTTTCTGGATATATAAAGGGGACAATGGCGATAAGAGAGAAAAAAGAAGTAGGAAAGGAGGACAGATTTTACAAACTCTTCATGGACAGTAGACCTCATTACCCAAGTCACCCCCTTAGAAAGGCAGGAATAAAAGAGACCTCCCTTGAGAAATGTTTACAGACTTCACACAACTGACAGTGTAAAAACTTAAAGACTTCTGTTGGCTCTCTCTAGTCCACATGGTATCCATAGCTCGCCACTCTCTGACCCTGTGTATTTCTCACTGTACACTTTATGCTCCAGCCACACTGAATTTTTCCCCAAATACACATTTTTAGGGGGGGGGAACCCATAATTTTGTACATGCAGTTCTTTCTGCCTCAAATGCGCTTGTCATCTGTCCCACCCAACTCCTATCTGTCCTTCTAGACTGTGATCAGTGAAGGTTTATTTCTTCCCCCAAGCAGGAAGAATTTGCTCTATTCTTTGTTCACCCATAATATTGGTCATATTTCCTTGTGGTAACTTATTTTAATATATTAAAATGATCTGTTTACATCAATATTTCTTTTTCCTTTGGAAGTCTTGGACACAGTTGAGAATCTAATGACAAATGAATCTTCTCAGAAAAATGGACATACACCCAAATTTTTGCTTGAGTTCATCAAGCCCATTCATCCCATGAACCCCCCGGTTAAGAAAACCAACCCCTAACTTACATATTGCCTCTCCAATAAATCTATGACTGCTTATAGGGCAAAGAACATTTTTTATTATTAATCTTTATAATCCAATACTAAGTGTTTGTTGAATTAATTTACCTCACTGTCCAGAATTCTCCCTAGTACTGTTAATCTCCATTTTATTAATGAAAACCTGGTGAGGCCATTTGTGTTAAAAAGTTAAATGTGCAGACTTAACTAGCTTAATTGAATGTTAAAGGCACTGTGGAAATCCCAAGATAAGTTGATGATTGGCTTTTTAATGTGCAGGTGTGTTTTATGAATCGCTGAATGGAGGTGTGAAAAGAGCAACGTGAGAATGAGGCTAAAGGAAGAAAAGACAGCTGGGCCAGGTGGCCTTAGGACACTAGGAATTCACAGGTGTGTATATCCAAGAGCAGCTGTTAGAGACATCAAGGGCAGAAAAGAACAAGACCAAGAAAGACCAAGCAGTAAAGGAGCCTTAAGATTCAACTCAGAGTCTAGAGGGGGAAGCAGACATTTTCAGCAGCCATCCAGGAAGTGAGAAAGGTAATGATAATGGAATGAGTTTTTCATAAAGTTAAACTTATTTAATGTAGAGGACTGTTCTTTATTCTGAGGTTATTTCTCTCCTTTTTTATGCAAAAATGCCCCTTTCTCTTCAAATGATGCCAATAGAGTTGGCTATTTAAAAAAATATCCTTATTTGGGGGTGACCAGTTAGTTCAGTTGGTTGAAGCGTTGTGCTGATAGCACCAAGGTTGCTGGTTCAATCCCTGAATGGGCCACTGTGAGCTGTGCCCTCCTTAAAAGAGTCAACTATGCCAATATCCTTATTTGGTAAAATATAATGTTGGGAGCCCCATGTAGATTAACTAAGGCTTTTTTATTTTTTTAAAGATTTTTTTTATTGGGGAATTGGGGGGATGGGAACAGTGCTGGGGAATTGGGGGAAGGGGAACAGACAAGTTGCTGTCCTTTTGTTCTTCAGTCTAGTTGTGGAGGACGTTGCTTCACTGGCCCAAGTTGGCACCATCATTGCGCTCTTCCCGGGCGAGGCACATCAGTCGTCGGCTTCTGGACGGCCACTCACTGCGGCTGCTGGCCGCTCATGCTGGCTGCAGGCTACACACGGTAGCCCATGGCAACCCACTGCCACAGGGGCTGCAGCCTATGCCATCGCGGTCAACTCATGGCAACCCACCTCCAAGTTGAGCTGTTGTTCAGCATCTTAGCTGCAGAGGGCAGTGTCACTGGCCCTCATATGCAGGATCCGAACCGGGGCCCTCTGGCGTCCCAAGCCAGTTCTTAACCATCGCGCCACTCGGCCAGCCCCTAAGGCTTTTTTTTTTTAATGGTGTTTTTTATTGATACATGAGATTAAAAAGTCCAAGTAGCACTGTGCTACGGAACAGTTTACATTACAGTCTCAATCTAAGACAATAGGCTAGAGAGAAAAATGGACATAAACAAGATTTCTGGAAATAGTGCCAAGGGGAAATGAAGACGGAACCCCTGGAAGGACTGGTTCAATTTTACATCTGTGCCAAGAAAAAATAATTAAACCAATGATTGTGTGTCTAATTTATTTGCGACGATTTTTGCAGATACATCCTCCCCTTTTGGTCCTTGGGTGGTAGCTACAGATAAATAAGGCAAGAATATGAGAGGTCATGTCCAATATGCTCAGAAAGGCTAACGAGAATGTCTCAGTCAATGGAAGTGTTAACTTAGAATTTCTGAGGCATAGTAGTTCCATTTTTATTCCTGGAGCCGGGGAATATCTGCTTTTTGCTCAGTTGGCAAAGGCTTTACAATACTGTCAGTGTTCCATGGAGTAGGTTCCCTGTGTAAAAACTGGCAAATGGGGTTGGGCTCTGCACAGCAGGAGCTTAGCAAGGAAAGGAAGGCTTTCTATCCAGGGACCCTGACATCAACATTATTTCAATCAGGGCCATTAACAAAGTGATAAATCAATACTTCCTGTGACAGATGGACAGATGATCTGGGTTCTAAAATCCTTCATCAGGGAAGTGGACTTTTCCTCCCTCAGTACTTCCTCTTCAGTACTTTTATTTTTATTTTTATTGCGTAACAGTGTGTTTTTTCCAGGACCCATCAGCTCCAAGTCAAGTCATTGTCTTCAATCTAGTTGCAGAGGGCACAGCTCACTGGCCCATGTGGGAATCAAACCAGCAGCCTTATTGTTCAGCGCACACGCTGTAACCAACTGAGCCACCCGCCCCTTCAGTACTCTTGAGAGATGGTGAATGGGATTTGTTGTCCATCACATAGCAAAATCTGATCAGCAACCACTGCCCCAGATCTCTGAAATCCCAGCTAAGTTGCATCCTCATCTAGGCCCAATCCTACAACTGAAAATTTTAATATACTAAAAGTTTAATGTAAATAAAACAACTTAAGGAGCAACTAAACGTTATCAAATAAAACATCATTGTAAACTGATTCGTTGAAGGGTACCTTTTAGGTATTAAGATTCTCTAGTACATTTGAAGATTCTGTTTAGTAAATTTGATGGGTACACAATATTTAAAATCTATTGTTTAGAGTAGAAGATAAATGTTACTTTCTCCGTTGTAAAATGAAGAAAATAATGCTATCCATCACATTGAATTGCTGTGAGGATCAAATGGAGTAACATCTGTAAAGTCCTTGGAACAATGCTTGCTTGATACATAGCTTCCCTTCAGTATGTATTGGTTATTATTATTGTTATTGCATCAAATATCCATGAGCTCTGCTACATGCCAGGCACTTTTCTAGGGACTGTAGAAACAGCAGTTACTAAGAGACAAGAAAGGTCCTGCTCTCATGGAGCTTCCATTCTATTGGGTTGTCAGAAAAGTCATGATGCATTTTTGCAACGAAAAACATAGAAAAAATACGTCATGACTTTTACGACAACCCAATAGTTAGCGGAGAAAAAAAAATAAATGTATGTCAGGTGATAACTACAACAGAAAAACGAAGCATGGTTAAAAAAAAAATAGGAAGCCTAGTGCAGGGGAAAGTTTTCGTTTTTCATAGGGTGGGTGGTCAGGGTAGCTCTCTGATAAGGTAACATGTGAACAGACTTGAAGGAAGTGAGGAAATAATCTTTGCAGTTATCTAGGGGAAGAGTGTCCTAAGACATCACTGAATCAAAAAAAAAAAAAAGATAAAAAGTAAGAAAAGAAAGGTACCAAAATAAGTAGGTCTAGATTTGTAATACAGAGTGAAGCTATGCCCCACCTAAAATAGGCCTCAGTTCCAGCCAAGTGTTGTTATGGGAATGGGGACCCAGTGTTGTCAGATCTTCTGGGGTTTTTTAAAAGAAAAACTGTCTCTAATGTTTGAAACTCTGTGTAGGCATAAATGCATATATATGTTCATCAAAAGACATGTAAGAATATTCAGAGGCATTATTTATAGTAGCCCCAAACTGGAAACTACCCAAGTGCCCATCATTAGAAAGGATCAGCTGTGGCATAGTAACAGTTTCTACACAGCAATGAGAAGAAACCAACTGCAGTTTCACACAGCATTATTGGTGAATCTCACAACATAATGATGAGTGGGGAAAAAAGCCAGTCACAAGAGTTCAAAAACAGGTAAAAACTAAGTTATGATGTTGAGAAAGCTAGAAAGCAGTTACCCTAGCTGGGTGAAGTGCTGGTAATTTTTTTTTCTCGATCTGGAAGCTGATTTTATGGGTGTGTTCTGTTAAACTTTATGAAAATCAGTAATTTGTGACTTTCCTATATGCATTCAATAAAAAGTTGAATCAAACAAAAACATGGGCCAAACAAAATAAGTCTTCGGGCTGAATCAGGACTGTGGGATTCTAGTTTGTTCTATAATGCATAGAGAAAATAGAGAAGTTTAAAAAAAAACAACTCATACTTTGAAATGCAGGTAAACCCTCGTGTATGCTTTCCTCAGAGAAGCTCCTACAAAGCCCAATGAGGAACTTGTCTCCTCACATTTACGCTTGTATGTTTATCCAATACTGTTGTTCATTCTTGTCCTCACACTAGAGAAATAAATCCATATATACCCCATTACAAGCCATAACTATCAATAAAGGTACCGCGCTGGAAAACATACATGCAAGAGAACCCAGAGGCAATTTCTTTTTTTTTATAGCTGAGCCATCCTGCCACCTGTTGGCAGCTCAGCGGCAGCTCAGCTCGGGCAGGGCATTGAACCACTGTTGCTCAGCTCAGAGCTCACACTCTTGAGTGAGCTCTTAACCAACTGAGCCACTTGGCCGGCCCCCAGAGACTATTTCAAAGTAGGGTTTGATCTACGTTAGGTTGAGAGGGCATCAGGAGTCTTTAGGCTGAGAGGCTTTTAAGACATAACAGAAATTTCGGGTAGTTGTGAAGAGGTAATCATACTGGGCTGAAAGTATCCAGGAAACAGGTATGTCTTAGCCTGGGCCATCCACCATAGGGAGACCAATCAATTGAGTGTAAACGATAAGTTTTAGGGCCGACCGAGTAGCTTGTTGGTTAAGAGTTGGCTTGGGAGCACAAGCTCTGAGCAGCAGGGCCGACATTTCAGATCCCACATGGGCCAGTGACGCTGCGCCCTCTACAGCTAAGATGGTGAACAACAGCTCTACCTGGCGCTGGGCTGCTGTGAGTTGCTGGCGATGGAGTAGGCTGCAGTGGGGCTATAATGGGCTGCCGTAAGCTACCGTGAGTGGCCGGCAGCCAGCATGAGCTGCCGTGAGCCGCCGTGAGAGGCCGTCAAATGGCCCGTGGCCAATCTGCCTCAGCTGGGAAGAGCGCAATGATCACAATACCGACATGGACCAGTGAAGCGGTGTCCTCCACAACTAGACTGAAGAATAAAAGAACGGCAACTTGTCTGCTCCCCTCCCCCAATTCCCCAATAAAATCTTTAAAGAGAAAAAAAAAAGGTAGGTTTTAGAATCTACATGTCCTGAGGAACTTACCTATGGCCACTGCATAAGCATACCCCAAAGGTGCTTCAATTCAGGTGGTTGATAGGAGTTGGGAAGGCTGTTTTAGGTAGTGACAACCGTAGTCTCTGGATGTATGCGGAGGTTTGGGTCTGGGGAAGGCCTTGAGAAGAAATGATTGTCTCAAGAGTTGAAAGAGTTACTGACATGGAAGAAATTGGGAAACAAAAGTTATTTGGGTTGGGAAGTGAGTATGGATAAAGTTGGACGAAAGTAGAGCCTTCTAGAGGAAGTCAAATTGCATAGCTTAGGACAAAGAATGGTGTTCCAGGATTGGGAAAGAAACCTGGAAAGGACTCAATTAGGGCTGCCGAAGAAGAGACATTCCAGGAGCAGAGTCCGAATCTAGCAGGACTAATCCCTTGCAGTCCCTTGTCTAGTGCAACAACCTCAGTTGTTGTTATAGTACATTACAGACTTACACAAGAATTTCCCAGGGAGGAGGTATCCTAGGTGTGAGGAAACTACTAGGTAAGTTGTCTGAAAATGCAAGGGCTAGCCTAGTATGTTTTTTCTCAGAAAGGACAGTTTCCTTAGGAGTATTGCCCAAAGTAAATCACAACCTTATGCCTATTTTCAGAATTCAACCTTTTCTTTATCCTTCCTACCTTGACCTGGACCAGTTATAACTCAATGAACTAGTAATCCCGTATTTTTTTTTTTTACTATTTTTTTAAAGATTTTATTGGGGAATTGGGGGAGGGGAACAGCGCTGGGGAATCGGGGGAAGGGGAACAGACAAATTGTTGTCGTTTTGTTCTTCAGTCTAGTTGTGGAGGATGTCGCTTCACTGGCCCATGTTGGTATTATCATTGCACTCTTCCCGGCTGAGGCAGATTGGTCGCTGGCCTCTGGAGGCTGCTCACAGCAGCTCTTGGCAGCTCACACTAGCTGCCAGCCACTCACGTTGGCTGCCAGCCACATATGGTAGCTTATGGCAGCCCACTGCAGCAGGGGCTGCAGCCTACGCCATCGCCGGCGACTCACAGCAGCCCAGCTCCAGGTTGAGCTGTTGTTCAGCATCTTAGCTGTGGAGGGCAGTGTCACTGGCCCCCATGTGGGATCCGAATCAGGGCCCTGCTGCTCAGAGCTGGTGTCCCAAGCCAGCTCTTAACCAACGCGCCACTCGGCCAGCCCTTTTTTTACAATTTTTATAATCAAATGTTACCAATACCTATACTTCCCACCATACAAACTTACCTTTAGTGCCTTTTATGAAAATGGGATTAAATGCTACCACTAAACAGTGTCATAACACCTGAACTAATATTAATTTCCAAGGTATATGGATTAGGATTGGTCCTTCTTCCCTAATGTGGGCAGATATGTAAAAGAAACTCCACATGAAGTGGCTTTGAATCTGGAACATTCAAGTCTATTGTCCATTTTTTTACTTCAGAATAACTGGGAATGTTTTTGTTTTGTTTGGAGGGGGCAGGGGGGCAGGGATGGAGCCTGAAAATTGAAAAAGGGAAGAGAACAAGGGGCCAAACAGGGACATGGCCGAGGTGAGACAGTTATACAGTTGACTCTAAGGCCTTTGTGGAAACCACGTGACAGGAAGTTTTTGAGCATTTACCTTCCACCAGCTAAACTCCAGTCCTGCACGGGATTCGTCTGATGGAAACTTGGAGAAGCCAACACATGACTCTCCAGTGGGGGGACTCTTAGAGACTGCCCATGCTGCTGACTCTACCTGGCCCTAGAGGCAAGAACATTAAGAGACTAAGGATTTGTTTTTTCCTCTTGTATTAATAAGCCCAATTACTTGAAAATGGCTTACAAAAAAACTAGCCAAAAATGGTCTCTCCTAAATCAGCTTGGTGACACACCTTCTCTAGGAAGTACTTCCATACTTGCTGACCCCTGCCCCCAAGATGGGTTAGGTGCTTGATCCTTTGTTTTTTCTCAGCTCACAGCCAAGAGCTCTATCATGCACTTACCCCAATATGATGATCTGTTTCAGTATCTCACTAGAGAAAGGCTTAACCTTTTTGTGCCTTTGGTAGTCTGATGAAACCTATGGACCAATTCTCGGAATAATGCTTTTCAATGCATAAAATACATAGGATTACAAAGGGAACCGATTGTATTGAAATATAGTTAACTCCAGACCACCTCTGGGGTACGAATTTCTTGAGTGCAGACACTATACTTTCACCTCTGTACTGCCAGTGCCTAGCACAAAGCCTGGCACATAGATGGTACTTATAAATGTTTATTTAATGAATGAACAGAAAGATGGCTACTGCCAAGTCAGCCTGAGGAATGATTCATTGCAAATGCTTATGCACACACCAATGGCTTGCATGTGTCACCCCATTTGAGATCATCTAAACCAGGGCTGTGAGGGAACCCCCACTCAACAATGGGTGCCATAGCATCTAGCAATAATGACAGGCTATTGGAAGACCAGGAAAACAACAAAGCTCGTGAATTTCCAGAATATTTAGAAAGTGAGAGTAAACAGGCTCAGTCTTTAGGAGGAAGAGATCTCTTGACTTTGGAAGCACAATATTCACACTACCACAGCTCTGACAAAAGGAAGAAAGGGACCTGAGCTAGGGTGTAGGTGTTCTCCAGGGCTCCTCCTCTGTCCTGAATTGGGACTTTTGTCTCTGGGAAAGAGAAAAGTGTCTCTAAAACCCACAATAGGGATGATGTCCCTTCTAGGTTCAAGTGGCAGTTTTAGGCTTAGACAGAAGTATTGGTTTTGTTTATGTACCAACAGGAAACGTGAAGGAGCAAGAAATAAATGCCACTTTCCTCACTAAAGATCTGTAAGGGGGCCAAAGTTCTGTTCTAAGCTGATTGCTACATCTATTAAATATTTTGAAAAGAAAAATAAAACCCCAGACAATTTTAAAGCTGAAAACCACAACTGTATGGGGTTCAGAAATCTCACCTTTAAGGCTTTTAAGATTGACCCTCCCAAGTTAGAGGGCTTCTCCAGCTATATACAGCCATCTGAAGGATGGCAGAATTCAGTTTTCACTTGCTTGACAACAGGGTTTCCAACATCTGTTGGAAGAAACATGGCTTCAGGTGGGTGTCTTCTTAAAAAAAAAAAAAAAAAGGAAACTACAAGTCAAAGTTTTGCTTTTAATTTAAAAAAAAAAAAACAAAAAACTCCCACTCCTCAGATGTGTGCTTTCTTTTTTGACCTATTTTTCCTTTAAATTGTCTGCAGTTTCCCTATATTTTCCCTACTGCAGTAAACAATGCAACCAAAGAAATAAAAACCAGGATCCACACTTGCCCCAAACACTGAAGATGGTCAAAGAGAAGGAATTACAGCACAGAAAATGACCCAGCTCTAAATATACAAACAACACTACCAAGAAAACAAACAAACAAACAAAAACAAACCCCTCCCGCCCCGACCCCAAAGACATTATTACTGACATTCCTGGTACATTTCCTATAATATAATGTTGCAGATAGTGCTTCTTTCCCAGGGAGTTCAGCTCACTCAGGAGGAGACATCTACTCAGTCCCTCAGGATAAACTGGGGGTGTTGAGTCTTCCTGCCAAGTCTAAGGTTTTTTTTATGAGCTCAATATCTCACAGAAATATCTGTGGTAGAAATGGTATAAATGAATCTAAAAGGGGATGAAGGCAGGCAGGCACCTGTCACTGTTCTCCAAATCAGCCAAAAAGCTGAAGAGCATGGGATCCAGGAGACAGATGCCATTAACAGTTGAAAGATGGAGGGTAGAACAAGAGGAAGCACCAAATGAGTGGCTGCTTTTGGTTCCAAAGCCAAAAACAGGCCCCACCAAAAAGGGCAGCTGGTCTGGTTGAGGAACTTCCCTGCTTCTGGAATCATGCAATAAAAATGATGGCCTTGGAGGCCCCGCTTCCACAACAGCCACAGTCCAAGAACCAAAGCAATTTACACCACATCACACAGTTCGCAAATGAATGGATTGATCCTAGTTTAGTAAGGTAAATGCTTTGACCAAGTGTGGGGGCAATGTTGGCTTGAATCCCAAAGCACAGCTGTGATATCCCTGGACTTCTATTTCTGCAAAGCCACGGGCCCCTGATGCTCCTTGCTTCATGGAGATGTACCCTCCCACTTATCACTGGCCTCTCCCATGATGGTAACTCTTAGCGATATCAAGAGGCATCAGTGGCACTTTTGGGAGTAAGCATTTCTTTGCTCCATCCTGGCCAAAGCACTTCCCTTTTTAAGCTGCTGCTCCAAGCAGCAGAGTTCCCTTCCAAGCAGAGTGCAACTTTCTTTTGTTTCAGTTTTGCACTGGCCTCTGAGGGCCTTTTCCAGGATACAAAATAAAGTATCCTTCTGCATCCATGTGTGAGTGGGTTGCCTTCCAGTGTCAGATCTGTGTTCCAGAGTTTGGTCAATACCTCTATATGAGAATAAAACCACATGTGTACACAGACAGACTGTCCTGGAAAGGGCTTTCTGGATAGGGTTTCTGGTTATCTTGATGCCTCCCTAAAAGAAATAACTTTCTCGCTTTAAGAAGATTAGAACATTGAGTGACCTACTCTCAGCTTCTGGAAGGGAAGCTTGTTTTTGTCCATTTTTCAATGAGGGGGTGGGAGGGACCCAACATTTTCAGTTACAGTAATGAGATTTTTTTGTTTTTTTTTAAAAACAAAAAAGGATCCTGTGTGGAAATGAGTGGGACAATAAAAGTAAACAAATAATTAAAATCTCAAACCAAAACATATCTCCTGGTCCCAACAGCCCAGTTAATCCTCTAAGACCACAATCTCCACATTGTGGACTTGATGTTGGTGTTCTTCCATCTCAGCCACAACTTTCTCCTCAGTCCTCAGCTCTGTCTCCAAAATGACCGCTTTGCCCTCGGTGTCCTCAGCCTCTGGGTCTGGGGCTGGGTCAATCTCAATGATGGTCTGCCCATCCTCTGAAGTGCTTTCCACAGCCTGGATTGCTGAGGTCAGGCCAGACTCCATGGCCACCAGCTCCACAGGGCTCACCATAGTGGTCATGTTGCCCAGGGTACTCCCATCTTGCATGGCCGTAGAGCTTAGCAGTGCCAAGCTAGACGAAGGGTGGATGGTCACTGTGTCTGGTGAGCTGCTCTTGGCCGAGGAGACCACTGTGGCATAGCGGAAGAGCTGAGGGCCAGAAGGCAGTGTGTGGACAGTCACAGGACTAGAGCCCTGGCTGAGGGTGGCCATTGGAATATTGCCCATGGAAAATGACTGACCCACGGGGGTGATGGTGATGGGTGAGATGACTGTGAACTGAGGCTGCTGGACAGGTGGAGATGGGCTCAGGACGGTGGTGGAGGCTGGCCGCTGGAGCCGGGGCCTTTTGGGGGGCTTCGGAGTGCTCACAGGCATCAGTAACACATTTTGAACTGTCTGGGATTTCAGCCTGTTATCCTGCGCTTGCTTCTTCTGCTCTTCCAACTGGCGTTCCAAGTCTATGGAAAAAAAGACAGACTTTATGTGGAGGGAAGTATAATCTTGGGAACCGTAAACTGGGAGTGAGGAGACCTGGGGTCTTGTTCTGGTCGTGTCACTATGTAGCCTCAGGAAAGTCACTTCATTGTTTTAAAGAAGAAACTAGACTGGATGATTTTTTGAAATCCCGCCAGGACTTACATTTCATTGTGTGATTATAGGCAAGGAAACAATTCAGAATCTTTTCAGGTTGTGATCCTACTATAGCTCAACTCTAGAAGCTCCTATGGCATTTTGTCACCTGTCACCAAAATGCAAGCCAAAGGAGCCTCCAGTTGGTCTAGCAGCTTATATATTCCCTGCCTTGGTGTACAGATGAAAATAAGGAACATCTGCACAATCCCTTTGGAATTGCCAATGACCTGCAAAGGAGATACAATGGCCACTCTGGAACACAGTGATTCCCAAATTACCCTTCAAGACAGGAACACCTTGCTGGTGACCCAAATGGCCTTAGTCTACCATTAGCCCCCAGAGAAGTCTGCAGAAAATTACAGAGGAAGTCCCTAAGAATTACAGAACTGAAGGAGGTCTTAAGAGTTCTAATACATTCATTTTAATGTGTTAAAATGAATATTAGGGGATTAATGGAGCATTCTAGTGGACATCTTAATCCTCAAAAAAATACAGAAGGAGGACTGTAATGCTGGCTTCTTTCTGTTTTCCTTTGTGCCTCCTGCACTTCCCACCACTTCACCTCACCTGGGGCTGTGTATAAAGAAAAAGCTGAATCTGATACTATGTGAATTGAAATAAAGAAAAAGAAATAGGGGGAGGGAAAGGGGGTGGGGCAAGGAAAGAAAGAAGCAAGCCAGTCCCAACAGAAATCAACAAAGAAATGGCAAGACTCAAGGATATTAGTATATCATCTAAGAAGAGAGAGAAGTTATACACACCTGTCAGAGTATAAAGAAACTGCTCTTCTCCCTGCTCTATTTGGTTCCTTCTGTTGTCCAAAACCTTCTTGACTGTGTCCATTAGGCCAAATGTATGTGCCACATTGTTGAGAACAGCAGCATCTATTTAAAACAAAAAACATGTCTGTCAAGTTAAAATGGAAAGGTTCCACCAACTCCCTGTTGTGTTTTTTAAATATGAAAAATCCACAAAATATGGGACTATTCTAACTGCATTTTTAAAATATTTTAACAAAGATTTATCACATGTATAATTTTGATTTAATTGTTATATCTATATTAATATTTTAAACAATATATTCAGCTCTGAGAGAGAGAGAGACAATTCTTTTCTGGCACCATTTATAAAGGCAAAAATTACGTATGGAAAAAGCATGGTCAGACCTGAGTTCAAAACCCAGCTATGAACTTTGGACAAATAACTTTTATGAGCATTAGTTTCCTAATCTGTAAAATGGGGATAATACCTATACCTCACGAGGCTAACAGGATCGCCTATAGTTGTTAGTGTTTTATAAATGACTGATATTGTTAGGATTAATTCACTTACCTGTGACCTGGAAGGGAGCCTGGATGAGCCGCTGCTGAACCCCCCTGAGTAGCTCCTCTATTTCCTTCTGTATATTGCATACAACCTCTTCCATCAGCCCTACATCAGCTATTCCTTTCCAGAACATCAAAGTGTCCTCTGGCACAAGAGGGATAAGAGAGGGTAAACAAGGGATGCTACATATACTTAGGCATATCTCTACAATGTGTTACATTCAAAATTATTTCAATTCCAAAGCATTCCTTGTTGGGATATTTCTGGGAAAAGGGAAGAAGATTTTGGAATACTGGCTGCCTCTCTAAGTTGGTAACTAATTATTTGGCTTCTTCAGTAAAGTAGTGACTTAGGATAATTGCCTGTTTGTCATGCCCTCAATTTGTCATGGCTCTGGCTATCAGGAACAGGTATCTTCCTCTAGTAAATATATTAAATTAAATATCAAATAAATACTAAATATTTATTTAAATAATTTGATTTAAAATTAAATATTAAATACTAAATATTATTTATTTAAATAATTTATTTTAAAATTAAATATTTAAAATTTTTAAATGATAAAGATATTAAATTAAAGATATAATTTTTAAAAAAGGATATACTCCCCCTAATCATATACTTAAAAAAACAAAGTAAAACAGTTGAATAGGTGGTGTTATCAGCTCCCTGAGGGTGAGGCTATGTCTTTTCATTTTCCTCTCTAGCATCTGGCAACAGTACCAACTAAAAAGAGACAGCAATAAATATTTGTTAAATGAATAAATGAATGAAGGATGATGGAAAGCTTGTCCTGGTCCCCTCTAAGTGAATTATCATTAATCACCATCCGCTACACCACCTGCTACCTAATTTTTATTTCTAACATCTTGCAGCTTGGTTTATCTAAGAAATGTACCAAAGTTGGAGGCAGTTTGACATGATGAAAAGCATGGACTACAGAGTCAAACTCTGCTGAATTCAGCTCTGATACTTATTGGTTGTGTGACTGATCTTGGGCAAGTTACTAAACCTCTCTGAATCTCAATTTCTTCATGTGTAAAATGTGACTTTGCAGGGCTGTTGCATGAATTAAAGTAAGAGGTTTGCAGTTATAATTAGTATTAATATGCATGAGAAACACCAGCAAAAGTAGTTAAGAGGCCTTCTGTGTCCATAATCATAATGGTGATAAGGTCACAAAACCCTGCAAGACATCTGAGCCCCACAGAAAAGTACCTGAAATTTCCTCTGAGTCTTTCTTCATGCTCTCCTCTGTGGCCATGGTGACAGCAGCAGTGAGAGCTGAGTTCCATTCCAACCCTGCCTCTTCCATGCTCTCTTCTGAGATGGCAATCTGTGTGATGCTACCTAAAAGCAGTCCATTAGAGATAAGACTAGTGAATTTTATGACAAAATCATATATATCCTCTATCTCCTACTCACAGCCAAAGATTCCTGTTTTAACATTCTGGCCTTTTGCCTGCAAATCCCTATATTAAAAACTAGAACTCGGGCCGGCCGAGTGGCGCGTTGGTTAAGAGCTGGGTTGGGATGCCAGAGGGCTCCGGTTTGGAACCCACATATGAGGGCCAGTGACACTGCCCTCTACAGCTAAGATGCTGAACAACAGCTTGACCTGGAGCTGGGCTGCCCTGAGTCGCCGGTGATGGCAGGTGGGTTGCCATGGGCTACCGTGTGTAGCCTGCAGCCAGCGTGAGCAGCCAGCAGCCGCTGTGAGCGGCCATCCAGAAGAAGCCAGCGACTGATCTGCCTCGCCCGGGAACAGCGCAATGATGGTGCCAACTTGGGCCAGTGAAGCAACGTCCTCCACAACTAGACTGAAGAACAAAAGAATAGCAACTTGTCTGTTCTCCTTCCCCCAATTCCCCAGTAAAAATCTTTAAAACAAACAAACAAACAAACGAACAAAAAAACTAGAACTCTAAGTAAGCCAGGATGAATACTGGATTTTCTAAAGAAAACCTGCCTTGCCAAAGAAAGTGTGTTCTTCTTGCTCTGAATAGACAATGAAAAATAACTTATAAAATCACAAAAGCAGTCTGCTTTCTGAGCAGGTATGTTTTGGAAAGAGACTGAATCAGGTGGGCATGACTGCCAGGATGAGGAGGACCTGAAATAATTTAGGAGAAAAATATGGTGCTTTGTCAAGAGCCCTACTACATACAAGCATGTTTGATACTAGCCATCCAGGCTATCTAAAGTTGCTATAATTTATTTATCAGCCTATGTAAGAGAAAGCAAGAGAAATGAGCCCAAAAAAATCAGATAAAAAGAGACCCATGTACAGTATATTCACACAGGAAAAAAACTTTTGCTATCAATTCTATATTAAGATTTTAAACAAAAAGAATTGAAAAAATCAATCTGACCCAGACAAAAATATAGACAAGTGTGGACTCTACACACTGGAGGCTATCAATAATCAAGCAAAGAAGTAATATCAATATGGATAATCAAGTAAAGGAGTTTTGGCCAGTAAAAAGGAAGTAGTAATTTCACAGCATTTTTCACTTTTCAAGTGAAAGAGTCACATGAACAAAAATTCAAACTGCTAGATATTATATCTTAGGTTCCGAGATATTTGGCTTCTACTCATCCAGTCGTTACAGAATATTAGGTCTGGCCATAAGAAACCTCAAGAGGTAATTTTTAAAGCACAGTACTTCCCTAACATCCTTTAGCGTTCTTGCATCTCTGGCAGGCATATTTGTAAGTCTTCTGGAAGTAGTTGAGACATATTCTAGCTAAGAATCTTAGCTGTGCTAAGCCTCTAGCTGGACTAACTGAATCCTGAATAATAATTTCACTTGGCTACATCTTTCCTGGAGATGGGGAGGGAGCCCTAGTCCCAAGCTCAACAATATTGAAGGTAAGTGTGTGCCCATACTATCTCATTCATGAGGAAGCTTCAGCTTGGTTATCTGAAACCCTTTCAGGCAGAGCTCTTTGATCCTTACAGCAGAGTCTCCAGAGTCCATCCCAGCCAAGGATATGTTGTCTTTGATACATTTCAGTTCAGCAATTGAAAACCATTCACCATTCCTGCTTTGAGCATTAGCAGAGCAAAGGATTTTCAAAACAATCGAATTTCAAAGATATACCAAGTGGCACCAAAGTGAGACCATTAAATAAACATTATAACTACTGAACCATCTTTCTAATGTTTACCATGCATTGCCAAGAAAGAAATAATGAAGGAGGTCTGGCCAATAGGAACCAATGAAAGAAAACAAAGATCTGCTTCTAAAAACATGGAATCCCACTCAAGATTACCATACCTTTCAGGGCCATCAACACTCATGAGAACTGAAATTAAGAAACACAAGGAGAAATATGGGGAAAAGTGCTACTGAAAAACACAGTGGGTTTTCAGGTGGTTTCCTACCCCCTACCATCGGCCGAGGTGGGTGTCTGCACCACACTTGTCTGCTGTCCTGGCACTGGAGCTCTTGCACTGCTGATCAGAAGATCAAATTTGGTGCTTCTGCAGGTATTGGAGCAAACCTTGTCATGCTGGTAAAAATCAATCTGTCCAGAGTCCATCATCTTCCTGCAGAAACAGAGACAAGAAGTACCAGTTCAGCCTGCACTTCATCTAGAGGGAACTAGGTAGGCCTCAGGGATAGAGACCAAGTTGCTGAGACTACTCTGTAGATTAGTGAAACCTAATAGTATTAAAAGTCATTAGGTTGCAAAAATTCTAATTGAGACTATAAAATTTTCATTGGTCCTGCCCACATTTACAAGAACAACTCTTCCTTCCCTAGTCTACTCATGAGTACTCTTTTATGTTCCGTTATCACTAAGCTTTAGGTATATACTCCTGACAAAAGCTAAATTTCCTCATAGAATCTCATTGAAACCAAACCCAGAAAGGGAAAAAAGACTACCTCATATCCCAGCACAATTGAGAAGTGCCACAAAGGAATTAGAATTTTGTAATGAGATTCTGATGTATTAGTATTTGTAGGCCAGCAAGATCTGTTGCCACTTTTGGAGACATAAAACTTCGGCATATTTCTTTCCTCAAAAAAAATTGATAACAAGTCTCCTATAAATATAGAGCAAAGTTGATTATACTAAACCCCCACTATAAAATGTTCTTATAACTGGATTCACAAGACATTGCTACAGGCCCTGAGCAAAACCATAGGGTATTTTAATTATAGTAAACTCTTTTATAATGTTACTTGACTTTCACTAAAGATTTTTTAGCCATTCTTATTCCTTTTCCCATTTAGGGAAAGTTGGCATTTGCTTGTTTTTCTGGGCAAATAAAACAGGCCAAGAACAACAAAAATGAAAGTTTAAGGTATTCCTCCCCAATTTTATTCAACTACTGATTTCTATATACAAATCATCTGGAATGAATTTGTTTAAATTACATGTCTCTGACTATAAAAATAATATGTGAAGAAAAAAATTAATATTTTCTGTGAAAAATATAGAAAACTATAAAGAAAACAACTGTCCTTTAAAAAATATATAACACAGAGTAATGTCAACATTTTGGCATTTTTTCTTCCACTAAATTTTACTTACGTTTGTGTGTTTTAACACAAGTAAAATCATACTGTTTAATTGAATTTTTTTTAAGATTTTTTATTGGGAAATTGGGGAAGGGGAACAGTGTTGAGGAATTGGGGAAGGGGAACAGCCAAGTTGTTGTCCTTCAATCTTAGTTGTGGAGGGTGCAGCTAGCTTAGCTCCAAGTCCAGTCACCATCCAGCCGCCCGATGGCAGCTCGCGGCCGCTCAGCTCAAGGTGCCATGTTCAATCTTAGTTGCGGGTGGGCACAGCCCACCATCCCAGGCAGGAGTTGAACCAGAAACCTTGTTGCTAAGAGCGGAAACTCTAACCACTGAGACATCAGTCTGCCCACCGGCATCTCAGCGGCAGCTCAGTTTGGGTGCAGCTCACTGGCCCATGTGGGAATCAAACCGGTGACCCTGTTGCTCAGAGCTCGCACTCTTAGCCAACTGAGCCACTCGGTTAGCCCCCATACTGTTTAATTGATTTTATATTTTGGTTTCTTTCTTACATTATAAGCATTTTTCCATGTTAAAACTCTTTAGAAATATTTTAATGACCACATAATATGCCATAGTATATGCTCATATATATTTAGATGAGCCATAATTTACTTTGGATATACCTTGACTGTATGTTAAAGCAGATTGCAATTTTCACTATAATAATGTTGCAATCAACATCTATATGTTTGAATCTCTACAAGCACTATAGATTTTTTTAAGACAGATTCCTTAAAAAGAATTAAAGAGAACGGGGTAAGATGTTTTTGAGGCTCTTGATATATGTTCTGTGAGGAACTTTTAATTCTTGACCACATTTTAAAATTTTCTATCAATAGGTGAGTGCTCAAGGAATATCAACTAATGTTAATCTTCAGAGGGAAAAAAAATTACAATAGTAAACCTGCTGCATACAGAGATGGGGTGGGGATATAATGCATTCTGAAGTTTATTTCTGTGGTACCATGACAGCAAGGATTGCATTAACTGTGCATCATTGGTATTTATTAACAGTACCCTTCTACTTTATCAGACTACCCTAGGATTTGTTGGTCAGCCTACACTTCTCCACATTGTTACACTTACTCAGCACCAGGCTTAGCTCTGCCTATGCTTGGGGATCTCAAGAAGGATTGTTATCTACTCCTGAGTTTCTTGGCCCAGAGGGGATCCTACCCAACATCCTGACATCAGAAAAACTGGGTAGAGTGAATTTAATTCAATTTTCCTTCTCTCACAGGTATTTTAAGAACAAGTTGATGAAAGTCAAATAATACATGGATTGCTTAAGCCAATCCTTCAGACAGAATAAAAATTTCAAATTAAAGAGAAAAAACTGGATTTTCTGGATTCTACCAGGACTAAGTGCCCCAAAGTCAGCTGAAAGGTATGTTCTTGCTATTAAAGCTCACCTGAGCATGATTCCACCCAGACGAATGGCTCTCTTCCAGTCCTTTAGGGTGGACTTGCCAGCCAGATGAACAAAATGCTTGGGGCTAATCAACTGATCATTGAACTAAAGTGAAAAGGAAAGTCCAAAATAATCCAGTGTCAATTTAGGCAGGCCAAGAGGAAAGAAAGAGATAATTCTACTTGCAATGTACAAAAAATACCCAGATGACATCTTAAGTCATAGCCTTGTATTATCCAGCCTCCTGCCCTTTTGTGTCAGAAAAGATGATCCTTCTCTGAGCACAGTGCCCTGTCCTGGTACAAAGCTACAGAGGACATGAAGAGGATCAGAGATTAACACACTGATTAGCATCTAAAATTCATTTCTGCCCTGAATCAGTTGATTAGGTTCAATGTTGCAAAGGCTGTTTATATAAACTGAAGTAATCTATCCAGCTCTAATGACAAGATTCAGAATATAGCAGAAAGAATTAATATAGTAGAAACCAATAACATGCAGAGCCTCGAAACTCTGTAATCTTTAATGATTCTAGGATGATGACAATGATGGTGACTACTATCTATGGGTACAGCTGTTACTACTGATGGTAACAGAATAAGCAATTGTTTTCACATTGTGCTCTCATGCTTATTTATTTTTATCAATAATAATTTTCAATAAACTCTACCATAATGCACCTCAGTGTAAGGCATTTTACATATATTATCTCAATTCATCTTCTAGCAACCTTCTAGTGTATATATACATATATGATTACTCATATTTTAATATATGAGGCTTTGAAATATTAAATAACTTGCTCAAGGTTACCCAGCTAGTCAGTGATAGAGATGGGACTCCATTCATTCAACAAATATTTATTGATAAATATACCAAGCACCATTCTAGGTACTGGGGATACATTGGTGAACAAGACAAACAAGTTCTCAGCTCTCATGGAACTTGTATTCTGGTGGGACTTGAATCCAGGTCAATTTCACTCCAAAGTTATGTTTTTCTACTGTGCCGCAATGGGACTATAGTCACAAAATTTAAAATATTGATATGATGGAAGAGAGAGAAGAGGCACTGAAACCATACCCTTTGAAAACAAGAGCCCCCAAATAGGCCCCAGCAAGGAGAAAAGACAATTACCTTGACACACTTCACATTTATTCCTGGACACACAAACTTCTTCCAGAGGAGAATGGCTTTGCTCTCCCCACAAGTTATGGGGTAAGCAATTTCCATGTCCTCATTTGCTTCTATAGTGCTTGCATCTGAAAATGGAAAAAATATCAGTTATTTATCGAACACTCTTCCCAAAATCTCAATTCAAAATCTCTAGTCCCCTGGTTCCTTTGAGAGGCTAACACTGGCTGGTATTGTTTAGAAACCCTCTGGAAGAAGTTTGGCATAACGGCTGTCTTACTGAGCTCCCACTATGCACCAGACACTGTGCTATATGCTTTTACATGCTTAATCTTATTTAGTTCTTACAACAATCCTGTGAGACAGTGATTATTTCCTATGTTTTACATGTATGTATATAGGACACAAAAGGTGAAGTGATTTTTCCTGAGGACACACAGCTACAAAGTGGGAAAGCAGGCTACAAATTCAGATTTGTCTAATTTCAAAGTTTCTTTCCACTGACTGCCATCCAGTCAACACCTCATTAGTCTTCATCAGCAACTTCCCTAATGACAGGGATCAACCTTGAGGCTCTACTTTCTTTGTGGGATTTTTATAGATGAAAAATCTTTTTAGCAACCCTGACAAATTGATGTTAAACAATCAACTGACAGCCCTAGCAACTTAGTCAGTGGTGTCTAAGTGATCATTGTGCCACCATAAAATTGATGGTTGTAGCATTAGTAGGGCACACTGGGTAGAGGGTAAAAAAATAAGACATGAAAGGTAAGAAATCTCAACCAAGGAAGGTAAGGTCACATGTACTAGAATAACAAAAAGACTTACCAATCCCTTCTTCAATTTTGTGTATCGTGTGAGTTTCTACTGCTACAACTGCTGTGTTGTTCTCAGACCCAGCTTCATAAATCCTGTTGTAAAAGTGTCCATCGATAAACAAACTACATAAATCATGAAAAAATTAATATTCACAGCATGGGGGTTAAGAAATTTGTTTTATTCTATCTCAAAAAGAATAAAATATACTTTACTACTGTATATTAGTGCTTTGACTAGTTCCCCATTGTTTCTAAACTCCAAGCTGCCCATGACTACTTAGCAGCTACTACCACAGAAATCAATCCATAATGTTCCTCTTCTCAAAGGAAAGTTCCTCTTGCTACTGTATTTACACCAGATTTTTCCCTTCATCACTTTAAAAGCTCATGACATAAAATGTTGCTTCAAGTATAAGATTAAGTCATATTACAGAATTATCTTAACAAGCCTAAAAAGTAATACTGCTGCACAGTTCAAGACAGGAAGGAACTGTTGACCATAGAAGTTGATGTCCCTTGTTGGAGTCTAGGCACTGAAGCATTTTTCAGCACTTTAACATTATTTTAAGGCACCATAACCAAACTACTGACATGAGCAGAGACTAGCAAAAAAAAAAAAAAGTAAGAGAGAGACGATGCCCAAAGTAACTAACAGTAATTAGAGGTACCACTTAGGAAAAGTATCTCTCTAAAATGTTTCTATTTTCTAACAAGTGGGCTCATATAACTTAACATGATACAGTAATGTTCTTTGTTTAATGTATACAATAAACCTAATGTGTGGATTATTGCACCTTGTTATTTGAAAGCACTGCCTGAATAATCTCCTTTGCATCAGTGATTACCCACCCCCCACAGTGCTACCTCTAGCACAGACCTCCCTTCTGAATTTCACACCAGGACATCTAACTATTAAAGGAATAAATACATTTGGATACCCCATAGGACTTTGTTGAATTCATCATGTCTAAAATAAGCAAGTTCTCTTCCCTTTCTCACCTCCCAACTACTCTTCTTCCTACGCTCCCCATTCTTGTTGATGGCACCACCCAGCCACACTGTAGCCTAAGACAGAAGCCTGGGAATTACACGAGATTTCTCCCTTTCCTCCTCCTCAACGCCCACATAGGCAGTCACCAAATCCTGGCAGATACATCCCTTTAACACCAGCCATCCTCCCTGTCTCTATTTCCACTGCTACCGCCTTAATTCTGGCTGCATCCTCTCTAGTCTGAACTAGTCTCCTTGCATCTACCTGATCTTCTATATTCCCACTAGAGTAATCACATAACTCCCTCCTTAAAACCCTTCAAGAACCCTCTCCTTGTGAAAATAAAGCCCCAAATCCTTAATATGATATTGAAGTCCCTACAAGACCTGGCCCCTGGTTTCAACTCTCCCCAAACCCTAACTTACAATCCATGCTCTAGTCATACGAAACTATTTGTGGTTTGCAAAACTGCCATCTTCTCTTACACCTTCTTCTATCTTTGCTCTTACTTCTCCCTCTTCCCAGAACATCCTTCCCTGTCTACTATTTGCTCTTTTTTTTTTTTTTGAGTAACCCAATGATACTTTTTCTTCCACCTCAATCCCTCCAGTATAATCACCCACTTCCTCCTTTGTGACCCAGCTGTACTTCAGGCTTTTGTCACACCTAAAATACTTAATACTATATACTGTCTCCCCTTGGGCAATATCTAAGCAATCCCTAAGAGCAGAGATTACCAATATGTTCTATTCATTTGTCAATTTTGTATGCCGGGCCTGTAGTATACTAACTGGAACACGGCAAAGCACCCATTAATGGATGGTTGGGTCAATGAATGAGGGTTGTAAAAAACATGCGAAACCACTGCTTCAAGTAAGATTGGTAAACTCGTTCTAAATCGACAAATATGTACAAAATCCCTTAAAAGCATAAATTCTTATTTATACATAATTTCAACAACCAGTAAATTGTACTTGGGTGAGAAATAGGGGCATATTCTATATTTTTATGAGTAAATAAAGTTTTATCCTGGAAAATTTTTCTAAAGCAACTCAGAATAGTGAAGGGTTTAGCTTAATTCTCTATACCTACTACAATATAGTCAAAAATCATAAATATATTCAAAATGTTAAGGCACTGTTAAGATACTGACATGCTTTATGAATCATTAAAGGAAGGTAAAATTATGTTTACTAGAGCTTTAAAGTTAAGTCTACATTATTGTATTCTAATTTTCTGAAAACTGAAAATCCACATATAGTTAAGTTCTTTTTATCCAGAATGTCAAGAAAAGATTTTCTGATTAACTGAATGTTGAATTAAGATTATTACATGAACTAAAACGTACCCTACTGATCTGAAAGAGTTTATACATCTTCGTAAGAACTTAAACCTTCTTCTAGGGAAGGATATGAGCATGAAAGGGAAAGTAGGGTGATTATTTCTCAAATTGAACTAATATTCCACTACATTTGGACTGAATTCCTCTACAGAACAAGAATGAAGTCAGCATACTCAATAAACGTATGCAGTTCTAAAAACACCATCCCTGATCTCATTATGTTAAAAATTCTACTATGCATCCAAAATTAATTGGAAAGCCAAGAACAGTGATGGAATTCTAGTATCTTCACTCCCTGAGAATCTTCTGAGTATGTTATAAAAGATTTGATCTGAAAAGTTAATAACCACTTTCTTTTTTTTTTTAAAGAAAGCATATACTGAAAAAGTCCTCTTATGTTGAAAAGCTCCCAGAATTAAAAGCCTTCTAGATACCTTAGTACTACTTATGTTTAGTTAAGTGTGGGCATATTTTTTGTTTGTTTGTTTGTTTTTTAAGCTGAGCCATCCTGCTACCTGTTGGCAGCTCAGCGGCTGCTCAGCTCGGGCTGGACTCAAGCCGCTGTTGCTCAGAGCTCAAACTCTTGAGCGAGCTCTTAACCAACTGAGCCACTCGGCCGGCCCTCAGTGTGGGCATATTTTACAGTCAATCTTGTGTTATTCTGAAAGTATCACCTTATACAATGTGTCAGATTCCATGTATTCACATGGGGAGAGTTATCAGACACTCTACTTTGCTTTATAATGTATTCCTGAAATGTGTACATAATGAATACTTGAAAATATGTGTATAATGAATACTTGAAAAAGTATAAAATGTCATATATGTACAAGCTAAAAAGATTTGTAAGTCCTATATATTAAAATCTAAAAATATTTATATAAAATCTCTATTTCTTTTGGATATAATCTTTACCAATATATTCACAGCAAGTCACTCATGTTCTTTGATTGTTTCTTTCCTTCATACTTGAACCTGCCGCCAATCAGGTTAAGTATGACTGAGGCTGAAGACAGACACCTGATGATTACTATCACTTTCTCAAGTGTATTAAACTTATGAGACCTGTACTTCTTTATCACTAGTATCAATGTTTTTGTTCCCCACTCATTTTTATAACAGGCCAAGATGCAATAAAATATTCAAAAAATTAAAAAACACAATTAGAGAAATCAACTGAGCATCAATTGGCAGGCATCTCAAAATGCAGTACCTCAAAATGTTTATTCACGAGCTCAGTTACACTAAATTCAATGTAAACAGTGGATTGGGGAGTCAATACGTGCTATACAAAGATGCCTATATATGATCAAGCAATGACAGGTTTCCAGAAAAGACAGTATCATTTGGAAAATAAGAAACAGAGAAAAGAAAAATAAGTAGAACTAAATCTTCAAAATAATTAAGTCTCTAGCAGAGAAGTTTTTTCTGTCTTTACCCGGGACAGGATAAGTGACAACTGGAGCACTTTGGGAAGATAGAAGAAACGATGACTCCATGAGAAAATAAAGCTACCTACCCTTTAATTCTTCCTCATGTACCAACGGGTAACAACTACAAGTATGTGTATGTGTAGCTAATGAAAGTCCCACACAAGTGAATTTGAATAAGCATGCATAATCTGTTGGGGCCAATGAAAATGTAAATCACTCTATCGACTCTATGTCAGGAATTATTTATATCAACTTTCCCTGATAGATCTTAGACTATTTCCTTCATGTTTAACAATATTCAGAAATGTAAGCAAACTATGATTATACTCCTAAAGCTAAAAAGTCCTTATCTTTTACAGATACATACTAGTGTCTGGGAGTTGCTTTAAAAAAATTCAGGAGTGGGTGGAAGTAGAGAAGAAACAAGACGGGCCATGTGTTGGGCCGGCCTAGTGGCTCAACTGGTTAAGAGCTCGCTTGGGAGTGCCAGCTCTGAGCAGAAAGGCCGCGGTTCGGATCCCACATTGAGGGCCAGCGACACTGAGCCCTCTACAGCTAAGATGATGAACAACAGCTCAACCTGGAGCTGGGCTGCTGTGAGTTGCCAACGACAGCATAGGCTGCAGTGGGGCTGCAGTGGACTGCTGTGAGCTATGTGAGTGGCTGGCAGCTAGCGTCAGCAGCTGGCAGTGGTTGAGAGCTGCCGTGAGCCACCGTGAGCGGCTGACCAATGACCAGCAACCAACTGCCTCACCCGGGAAGAGCGCAATGATCATACCAACATGGGTCAGTGAAGCGACGTCCTCCACAACTAGACTGAAGAACAAAACAGCAATTTGTCTACCTGTCTGTTCCCCTCCCCCAATTCCCCAATGAAATCTGTAAAAAAAGACTGGCCATGTGTTGATAATTGTTGAAGCTGGGTGACTGGGTACTTACATGGGAGTTCATTATAGTATTTTGTTTTTGTGTACATTTGAGCTCTCTATACTAAAATGTTTTTAAAATTACCGAGAGGTTGGTTGTCTTTCTTTAGAAGTGTTTAAGACAAGGTAAGGTACATTACTTAGTAGATTTGAATGGGTTTATATGCTTGCTCAAGAACATTTCTAAACATATGAAGAATCTTTTATACATTACCCAAGATAAAAATAACTGCCCTTCTCTCTGTACATCCAATTCTTATTTAACCTTCAAAAATTATCAATAGATAATTTTTTAAAACTTATCTCTTCTTTCAAATTCATAGTGGTCCTCTGAATTGAAAGCACTTCCCAACATGCCATTCCGAACTTCTTAGATTTTGCCATGTAAGTGATCTCTTTATTTCTATATATGTATTTTTGGTTTACACATCTAGACTGCAAGCTCCATGATGGTCCAACACGTTCATAATACATTATGTAAGAGTGGGCAGTTGATACATATTTTTTGATGGACTAAGCTTGATAATTTGTCCATCCATGAGAGTCCAGAGAGCTTCTAGTAGAAATACTTTTATAGTTGCCTTATCTAATCCCCTCTGACTCTAACTACACTGTCTTTTGGTAAACATGTACCAAGGCCCTGTGCTAAATAGTGTGAATAAATAAAATGAGGGAGCTATGTAACCTACCCTCAAGGGGCTCACAGTGAAGAAGGGGAAAGACAAAGAAACAGCTAATCGTTCTAACAAGTATTAAAATGACGAATACAACACATAATACATTATAGAGATGAAAACTTAGCCAGCTGAGATTGATGTTGAATGATCCTTTGTGATAAGCTACCATAATGTATAATTTCTTCACTCTTTAAACCTCCCAAATTCTTCAGAATATTCAAATCTCTAGTCACTTACCCTTGTTGCACAGGCTGTAACTGCAAGATCACTTGAGTTTTAGTGTCTTCAGGGTTCTCCCCTTCATTTCCTTCAGTGGGTACCACAACCACATCCCCCACTGGGACACTCACTTCCGCATTAGCCATCTTTCACATGAAGTCAGACAGCTGAGTCTGCTGTCAGAAACAAGAAGCACCAATAATTTCCTCTGGTTTGAAAAGATGACAACCATAGGAAAGGAACACCAAGATAATGACTACCAATTCCAAGGGTCACCCTGGAGATCAAGGATGGGAACATGGAAAGGGGCTGACATTAGGCTCTGATCTTTCCAGAAATGCCTCAGTACTCACTTGCTATTATAGGTTTTCTTAGTATGAGTGATTCATCCAATAGGGTGCTGAAGCCAGCTCTATCAGCTCCTGAGAACCAATTGCGCATGTCTCTCCCTAACTCCAAGTTTAGTGACGTCAAGTTGGTCATTTAAAATCAGTGATTGGCAGTATATACACCACAGAAATTGGCAAGCACTACAGATCAAGTTTTTGGGTTTCTTTTTTTTCTAGAGAGCTGGTTTACAGCACACCGCTAGTTCCATCCCAAACAGTAAACTCCTAGAAGGTAGGAATCTATTTTCTTTGCAACCAGCTATTACACCTCATCAAGTACTCTATCCTTTGTGAGTTCTTATAAGTATCTGCTGACTAACTGAACTAAGCTATTAATATATGGGAAGAGAAAGATGACTTGCATTGTGTAGTTGCTTAATAAATGCTGAATCCAACTGTATGACCTCTAGGAACTTAATACCTCTTTGCCTCAGACTGAATGGAGAGATGAGCTCACCTAACATCTACCCTACAGAACTGCTGGGGAAACCAGTGTCCAGCACCCCATGTTTCTTGACTCTAAAGTAACTCAAAAAACTCAAAAGGGCCACAGGATAATCTGCAGCTGTTAGTCTTCACAGTTGAAAAGAGAGTCACTTAAGAGAGTATAGATAAGAGCACTGTATTTACTTAGATGTATGTGAAGATGACTAGGACTGCACTGAATGGAGTAGGCACACAATGGATGCAAGTTTGTGTATGTAACTGGTAGTCGGATGACTAAATCCACATCTCAGCTCTCCCACAGCACTTGTCTGCCTATAATACACATACTTAAGCATAGCACTCAGTCTCCCTCATTTGGCCCCAAAATACAGTCTTATCTGTAACTATAATATCCCAAGAATCTTAAACTCCAGCCCTACCAACCACCCACTCTATTCTGAATATATACTTTCAAGTTTTTGTACTTGGTTATTCCTTAAGCCCCAAACTCCTTTCTCCCTCATCTCCTTCTCTCTTCAGGCCCAGTTCAAAGCCCACTCCTCTACATAGCCACTGCCTAACCATTTTATTTTCTGCACTGCCCCAATAAATGGTTTGTAGCTCTCCTCTAGTGTTTATCACACTGAACCCTGTATTGCAATTAATTTATCTTCATAACTGCATTGTACTCTCTGTCAGGAGAGATGCCACTTATCTAAAAATCTTTCTGTCTCCCACAGATCTGCTCATCATAGGCAACTGACGAAGTTTGGGTCAATCAATTTTTGTTTGTATTTGACCTAGTTAAAATTCCTATATCTGACTTGTACTTCTGCCCTTTATGATTCTCACATTCAAACTTTGTACCTGAATTTTACACCTCCTATATCCAAAAGCCTCTTAAAAATATCTTGTAGACACCTTAAATTTAACTCATGTACCCTCTCAAACCTGCTCCAGTATTTCCTCCCTCAGTAAATGGCGCTACCCTCCATCCATTTGCTCAAGCCAGAAACTAAGGAGTTATTTTTTATTCCTCTTTCTTCTCTTTTTAAAGCCAATCAACCACCAACTCCTTTATCGATTCTATCACCTATATATCTCTTTTAACCATCTCCCAGTCTACATCTGTGCTGCCACTACCATATTCTGAGACACCACACTGTTACCTGGGTATTTCCAGATGCTTCTCATCAGTATTCCTAAACTCTGGTCTTGCTTTCCAATCCATTATCTACAGAGCAAATTGATCTTACTCAAGATCACAGGCCATTTCTCCATTTAAAAATCCTTCAGTGGACTCCCTTTGCTGTTAGAATAATGTGCAAACACCTTAGCATGGCTTACAAAATCCTCCAAATCCCTCCCCTGCCCATCCTGCTAGTCCCATTTCTCATAGTTCCTATCACATTGTGGGTCCTGTCATTGAATTTTTCCCAATTTCTCAAACATGCCGTATTTTTTCACCTGAGTCTTCATACTTGTTTCTTCTACCTGGAATTGTCTTTTCCTTCCTCTTTGGCTAGTCACTACTAAATTTCTGTGACTTATTTAAACCATCACTTCCTTGGGAAGGCTTTCGGTGACTTCTATGACTAGACTTGAGCTTATGTGCTCCCTCAGTGCCTGCAGCACCCCGATCACAACCATCATCTCACTTTGTCAGCCTCTCCCCACCAGACTACATCCTGGGAAGGCAAGGATTGTTTTTCTTTTTCAACAGCTCCCTTGTGCCTAGCTCAGTGCCCAGGACACAGAAATATAATAGTTTTCAAATATCAGACTTCTGTCTACAAAACTGTCTATCTAAAACTTTCTAAGGAAATCAGGCACATAGCAGGTATGCAATACATTTTTTTTTTGTAGTGACTTGCCTTACCCTAAAAGACTTCTAGAATTTTCTACTTTTCTATCTTAGGGGATATAAATTTGCTTAGGCAGCTAGACTAAGCTGCGAGGCTTACTGCCCATAATTATGACCAGTTCAACAAATATTCACTGAGTCTCTACTCTACATTGGGCATACAGTTAAGCTCTCTGGATATGAAAAGGGAAAAAACCTACTGTTAAGGAACTACAGAAGGGAAAGAGATGCATGACATTGTCACATACTAGAGGAAAAAAGTAACTGCAAGATAATATAGTACACAATCTGAACTTCTGTAAATTAAAGGTTTAAAACTAGAAAAAAATAAGAGCAATGGACAGATTCGGCTGGCTTCCGGCAATAGAGCCAAAACAATTAGGCCCCGTGATTCTAGGAAAAGCCAAAAAAGGATATGATGAAGCATACAAATGCCATGGAATCCTACAATAATTGAAGCAAGAGACATCTTCAAAGTATGAACTATAAAAATGTAGGATGAATTAAAATAATAATCGCAGCTAACATTTGTTGGACACGTGTTTATTGTCAAGCACTGTTGTTACTATTACATAGTCAATGAATTTAAAAGATGTAATATCTTAACATGTATCAAACTTATATTAGTCCAAAAAGGTGGTTTAAAATTTTAAAAATAGTTCAGGTGAATTAATGGGTTAGAGAAGAATTAGTAGGATGCTTTCAGTTTCAACCTTTTACCCTATGGTTGAGTCGTCTCTACAACACTCTGAATAAGTGGTTGACTAACAACTTGATTAATACTTTCCTCAATAGGAACTCATATTTTATTCCTTACCCCTCCCACACCTGGAACCCAAGAGGAATGTTCTGGCTGCTTCTCTAAACTTCTGAGAGTTTATCAAAGCAGATAATTATAATCATCCACACTATGTCTCTCAGTGTCAGTCAGAGACACAGGTCTGATTCAACATGGCAATTCTTACATTCTTTAGAGAAGTTAGTTTGGGTTGAATATCTCTTATTACCCTAAATACCATATTCGAGCAAGTAACCTGAAACCAGTTCTTCAGACTACACTGGCTAACTGCAAGGTCATCTCTTTGAGCTGAGTGTAAACTGAAAAGTAGCTCTTGTTTATAGCAACAAAAACTCCTGAGGCAAGACAGTGAGTTGATCCTTTGGGTATTTTATGGAAGGAGCCTTATTCATTGTTATCATACAGCACTCCCTGTAAGTCTAGGGGAACACACATAAAAGAAAAATGTCAAATTTATGTGAAAAGTAAAAACCATTTTGTAGTTATTTTCAAAGACAAAAAAGACACCTTGAAAACAAATTCAAGACTGCTTACATAAACTATCGGAAAACTTAACAAATGACATCTGACCTACTTTGGATTAAATTCATTTTTTTTGTCCTGAAAACGAATGTTTAAAACATGACAGGAGTGTCACATGACAGGTACACAAGTTGGTAGTTGATAAAGAATAAAATACCAGATATCCTGAAATTTTCTAACCCCAAAATGTATTTATTTCTTCCACACTGCAGTGTAATTTTTGTAGACCGTGTATTCTTCAGAAATTTCCAAGTTAATACTTGAGACCAAAACTCCTTGATTTTTTTTTTTCCTTCTTTATTCCTTCCCGAGCATTCAGGTGATTCAGATATAATGAAGCCAACACAAAGGCTACACAGGACCCCTGTGAGGGAAACAGCCAGAGCAAATGAAGTTCAGGGTAAGTCACTGCTGGAGACCACTTATGTGTTTGAGGAAACAATGTAATAAAAGGGTTCTTTGAAGGCTCATCTACTTAAAGCGTCCAGGGACTTCTGCTTAGGACAAGGCCAAATTAGGGCCCAAACTAATCTAATGAAGTTGAATACAAGTTAGCTATTCAATCATTGTTTGAAGGAAACATTAATAAGTGGCTAACTTTTGAAAAAAATCATCCAGTCAGGAGACATTAAATACACATAACTGATAAAAGGGTGACAAATTAGGGGAGACGGTCCAAAGCCAAACATTTAATGAAAAGGTCCCCTCCAAAGCACTTCGGCAACCATTAGGGGTGGGGGGAAGAATTCCTCTGTGAAGACTAGAATTATCTGTTTGTCCCTTGCCCTCACCCTCCAGGTTAAGGAGAAAAAGCCCACTTCTTGGTTCTCCTAAACAGAGCCCCTTTTGTATCTGCTGTGAAGTGGTTTTGAGGTTGCTCTCATCTTGAACCGGGAATACAGGCCTCCTTCTGCTCCCAGGACAGCCAAGCCTTCCCCTGATGCGTCGTCGGTCGAGGTTTGACAAGCCTTCATCTTGTGGATGCCTCTCTAGGACCCTCAAATCAGACTACGCTCTCATTTCTCCCGCTCCTCAGGAGACACCTGGCCAATTCTCCCATCATTTCAGAAAGTGGGGGTACTCTGGGCTTCCCTTCAAATGTCATCTTTCTGGTCCTCAAACACCTGTGTCTCCCCATCCCGACATACCAGATTACCCTGTTTTCTACCTAGACGTCCAGAGGGACTCAAGTCTTTCATTCCTTCACAGATTTGGACTCTTCTCATTCCTTCTTCAGGGAGCTCTGAGGTGTCTTCCTACCGCCCCCTCATCTACAGAAAAGCAGAGGCACCTGTCTCTTTACCCCTGGACTGAATGGCCGAAGCCTCAAGCGCGCCCCTCGGTTGAAGCTGGGACCCTCCTTTCCTCAGAACCCACTCTCTGCTCTGGCTCCCCAACCAACGCCCGAGGGTCTCTTCCGGGCAGGCATCCAGGCTTCCCTCACTTTTCGACCCCCGCCCCCAGCACAACCCAGGCCTCTCCCCAGCTCCTTATCGAAGGGCCTGGTGCTCCCCGGAACCAGACTCTGGGGATACCCCCGAATCCCAGACCCCTCGCCAGGGTCCTGGGCGTCCGGGCCTCTCAGTCCGGAGTCGCTCAGGCCCCTCCTGGCCCCTCGGCCGAGGACTTCCGGGCTCCTCGGTCTGGGGGCGTTGGGGCCCCCTCAGTACCGGGCTCGCCGGC